ATCTGCCAAAGTATAATTCCCACATAGTCTATCCCATCTCTTGTTAAGAGTGAAGAAAGAGAATAGAAGAAGAGGATAAAGAAGATGGTCTCCTTTACTAACTGCTGTAGTCAATGAGGGCACAGACAGTGCAAATGTGAACGCACTGTAACACGGTAAGCGCCTGTAACAATACACGTCCACAACTCCACTAAGGTATTCATGTGCTTGATTGGGTTGCTCTTCAAGGCCGTGGATGAGTGAATGTAAGTATATAGCCAGCTATATATTACCGAGTAGCTTGCTACCGATAGCTGGCACAGCTTAATCCATTGGCTTTACTATTGATTATCGCTACCAACATTCTATTCCTATTTCGCATTCACAATAGTCATAGATCCATCACATTTTCAGACAAAAGACAAAGATCATTGTGTCTGATCTTGCCTTTTAATATTTATTGTTAATTGTTTACTATGCTGTGGTTTCCAAGCTGCATCCTGGCCCAAGAGTGGCGATGCCCATGGTACGTTTGCATGAACCGAACATTTCCTAGTCGGCTTGGATTCTTTTGATGTTGCTTTTTAGCATATTCTTTGATGGCGCCTTGGCTAACTGGCCTTGGAAACCTTGGTTGACTGGCCCTAGTGGCCTGGCTTTGGGTTAGCTTCCCTTGGTTGACTGCCTTTGATTATCGGGACTCTTATAGGTTGCCCTTGGTCGACTTTGGCTTTGGTAGTCTTTGATTTCCTTGATTGCAGCAAACTGTGTTTGATTAATTGTGGTTGCCTGGCTGCCTTCGATTGCTTTGACTAAGGTTTTCTGTCTTTAATTTTGCTGAGGCAGTCTCTAGCTGCTATGGCTGAGCCAACCGTCTACCGACTTTGGGCCTTGGCTGGTTTTCAATGAGGTTTCTTTTGGTTGAGTGGAGTGAGCTGGTTGGCTTTTTTTTTTTTTTTTTTTTTTTGCAGTGATGTGACTGCTATCTGCTAATTTTTGGTTTCTGACTTTTGGGTTCCTGGCTTCTGGCTTTTGACTTCTGGGTTCTGGGTTCTGGCATTTGGCTTCTGGGTTCTGGCTTCTGACTTTTGGCTTCTGGCTTCGATCTTTTGACTTCCGACTTCTGGCATTTGGCTTCTGGCATTTGACTTTTGGATTCTGGCTTCTGACTTTGGCTTCTGGCTTCTGGCTTCTGGCTTCTGGCTTCGGGGTTTTTTTTTTTTTTTTTTTTTTTTTTTTTTCTTTTGAAGTTTTTATTTTTTTTTTTTATTTTCATTTGAAGTTTTTTTTTTTTTTTGGTTTTTTTTTTTTTTTTTGGTTTTTTTGGGGTTTTTATATGACCGTTGGCTGTTAACTGTTGGCTGTTGGCTGTTGGCTGTTGGCTGTTGGCTGTTGGCTGTTGGTTATTAGCTCTGAGGCTATTTCTCCAGGCGCTCTACCTCGGTCTGATGCTCTTTCCCAGGCCTTCTGCTTTCCTCCATGGACCGTAGGCCTCGCTTCTCCAAGCAAAAGTCCCATTGCCTGTTATAGCTTTGGCTGAGGCTGCCTTTGACTTTGAGTGTTTTTTTTTGAGTTATTTCTTTTTTTCTTTTCCTCATCTTTTTTGTTCTTTACTCTGTGTTTCGGTTTTTATCTTTTTTTTTATCTTTTTTTTTTTGTTCTTTGTTTTGTGTTCTTTGTTTTGTGTTTTGGTTATTTGCTTCTTTTTTTTTTTTTTCTGCTATTGGATGTTGGGTGTTGACTGCTGACTGCTGGCTCTTGACTATTGGCTTTCGGCCCTCGGCTGCTGTCTGCTTTCTGTTGGCCCTGCGCTCCAAGCCGCATTCGAAGCATGGCGCTCTTCGATCTAGTTTTATGCCTCAAGGCCCTCTACTCCCCTTATGACCCTTGCTCTCGCTTCTCCAAGCAGAGGTCTCATTGCAATAGTCTATCGAACGACTAGCCTATGAAGCCCTACTATGACCAGAGTACCTTTGGTTCAGACGGCAGGTAACAGGTCACACAACATGACGCCTCTACGCCATGCACTACACACTACAGCCAGGCGCCTGGTGCAGCTTCGCTAATTGGGGTGATCTAAGTATGGTGTCAGTAACAATGAACTATTTACTAAACACTATAGAGCTCCGAGTTGCCAAGATCCCACCTAAACAGAGAGAACAAAAGCAATGGTAGAATCAAGTTAATATGCTCCTTGCTATGTATGCGCATGTATACTTACCTGAGGTGTTATCAGGCCTTGATAACACCTGATCCTGATCCTGGTCCTGATCCTGATCCTGCTGGAGGGGGGACCTCCTTGAGGGCCGAGACTTGAGCTCTATAGGCCTAGTAAACAGGCCACTGTTACTGACTTACCATACTTAGACGACCACAACTGTGTGTCATCTGTTACCTATGCGAAATCCCCAAGGGCACTCGGATCAAAGTAAGGTCCAGAGGCTAGAGGCTCTCTAGAGCTACTACAATGATCCCCCTTCAAGGAGTTGCGAGGGCTTGACGGAGGGGTCTGCGAAGGGGATCGACGGGCAGGCGGGAGGATGGCCCGATGGAGGGCCCGGCGGGCTAGAGCCCAAGCGGATGAGCCTTTAAGGGAAGAAGACAAAAAAAAACACGCGTGGTTAGAATATTTGGTAATCAGAGCACAGCAGAGTACAGACAGAAAGTCACGACATGTACTCTAAAAGAAATTGTACTTACAGCTCCGCTTTCGCCCCATTTCGATAAGCACTGCATGGGCCCATTGCAGTCTTTGGGACAATCGTCGCCATGAGCCTAGGGCTAGTGGCCCCTATTACAGCTAGAAGGAGGAAGACGAAAAAAAAGAACGAAGATAACTTTGTAAGTATGCTAAGCTTATTTGATGGTAGGGACAATCACAAGCAAGACAAAGCGAAGGCATACATAATCTATATACTTACTTGATGACAGCGGCGAGGGCTCTTCTGTGAATGACCAGGTGAGGCTTTTTTTGCTTTTTCTGGTCTGTAGTTTGCTGTTGAGTTGTTCAGAGTGTTTCCTAGCTCTGCTCTGTATCTGGCTAGAAGTTTGTATCATTTGTGGTCTAACAGTGGTGTGAAAGAGAGAGAAAGAGAGATAGACAGGGAATGAAAAGTCAGAACAAGTACAGTGCAGCATAAGGTGAGAGAGTTAGGACTTTAGTAAGGGTGAATATTTGTGGAGTGTTGCTTACCTTTCATGTTGGTCGATGAGGCTGAACTGGAAGAGAAGAGAAAAAGGGAAAGAAAGAAAAGAAAAGAAAAGAAAAGAAAAAAAAAGTCTATTTTATATCGAAAGCACTCGCGTGTAAAGGACGAATGGATGAATGATGAGTGGTTTTTGAAGTCGCGCAGGAAAAATGATAAGTGAAACCAATTTGCGATTTCAGAGTATTGACTGAATAATGAATATATCAAGCATCTTGCTTTTTGTACGCTCTAGAGCTCTAGAGCGGCCAAAAAAAAGGAAAAAAAGAAAAAAAGAAAAAAAAGCGGCGTAGCGGAATTTGAAAATGGATAATATGCGCAATACATGATATCATCCGTCATTTTTCATATGCATACAAGAGGGAAAAGAGAAAGCACTCATGGGTGGAGGTGGGGAAAAGCACTGCTAACATTCCGTCTTCCGTCTTCAAGATCTGCAAGATCATATAAACAACAATATTAGGCTGCAATCAGAGCACGAGCCACATTGCTCTCTCTGCATGCTAAGGTGGTGCAACAAAGAAAGAAATATCTATTTAGACAGCGAGCTAAAGTAAATGGACGAGATTCAGAGCACAGGCATATTAACACTCGCTTTCTCCACCTTGTAAGCATATGAAAATTGACAAATGATATCACAGGTGCGCTTATTATCGATTTTCAATTTCCGCTATGCCGTTTTCTTTTTCTTTTTTCTTTTCCTTTTTTTTTTCTTTTCCTTTTTTTTTTCCTTTTTATTTTTCCTTTTTTTTTCTTATATGTCTATACAATGCACTATTTTGTACTACTCATTATATTTGACTCAATAGCTCTTTGCATACTCATTAAAAGGTTAATTTTACCAAGGTGGACAATGTCTGCTTCCCTTTTCTGCCGTGTAAATGTTTTGACCAACCAGAAAATAGCGAACATCTGACCGAGGGCGTCATGGCGGAAATACAAATAATTCTGTGGCATTAGTCTATCAACGCTCATTCTTTCTGCTTTGATGGCACAGCTGTGTTCAGCGGACGGCTGCAAGCTGAACACGAGTGAACTGACTTGACCGTTGCCACCTTTGATGTCACCATTTATCATAAATTCACGCCGCTCTATTGAGTAGATACTGCGCGAGTGCTCATATGAGTAAAGTTCTGCCTGACAAGAACCAACCAAGGCTTTCATTCTGTCATCAAAAAAAAAAAAAAAAAAAAAAGGTTTTCAGTTCTCTACTGCGATCTATATTGATGCATGAAACAACTTTTGAAAATCATGATTGGAGTGAAAGGGATAAAGAAAGGTCTATTTCCATTTGTTATTTAAGATCAGGATTGGACAGAATGTGACCTGCTGGCAAAATTTCGGCAAGCAACTCGGCCGTTAACCCTTTTTGAGAATAGTTCAGTTGGTAAAATGGATTGTAATATTAAACGAATGAGTATAAAGTAAGTATTTAAAATGTAAAGAGATAACGCGTTCAGAGGGTGATTGTAACTGAAAGTGTATGTGTGTATGCTGCGAGGGAGGGGCAACAAGTCAGTCATACGTCTTTTTTTTGCACAAATACCTCTCTTTTTCACACACACACACTCAACTCTCTTTTCTTTTTACATTTCATTTGCGAAAAAGAATCTTCACATAAACACACTCACCCTGCGATATGCACCATTCATCACCTATAGTTGTTCTCTTTTATCTTTTCTTTTTTTCTAAAAAAGCCAGGGTTGTCAAATAGATTAATTATTTTTCTCTAAAAAATTTATTTTACTCTTGTATCACTCTCGCCCTACATCAAGTATCCATTATATCCTTCTATCCATCCATCATTCCCTTCTCATGTCTGATTCACTATTAAATGATGAGTCTCAAAAGGTAATGGTGCATTTCGATGCAGTAGAGTAGATAGTTTGGCAGGATGTTCGAGCTTAATGGGGGGTGACATGTTGCGCTTTGTGCCAGGTTGCGTGGGTGACAATGTGGGCTCATTATCTCGACCGCGGGTGGAGCGTGTAACGGTCCTCACTCAAAATCCGTGATCTGTGTAGTGTCAAGCGCAACTCACATTGCATGGTAATGTCATGCTATTCAATTTACTAACCATTACTTTCAATAAATCTTAGATTCGGACTCAGCAACTGAAACTTGAAAAATTGCATGAAGCCATGAGACGCTATCCAGGGTCGAAATACTTCATTGATTATGAAGATTGGACCAAAGAAGGTTACTTTAAGTATCGATTTGAGTTTGCGTCTAGAAATCCATCAGCAGCCGCCAAGCAATACAATCAGCTTATGGACCTTTTTCGGAACTCTGGATCGACAGCTCACCTTGAGTACGCCTCCATCAACAAAATGAAGATGACCAAAAGATGGGTTATGGATCTATGTTCAGTACCTGCTGGTAATATATATAAAAATAATATCGGAAATGAGAAGTTTAGAAGTTGACATGAATAATAGAAACTAATACAGATAATAACTTAATTAGATGGAGATCAGATGGCCAGTGATACCGATACCAGCATTTTGAGTGCCACGAGTGCTGTAACCGCATCAACGCTTTCCTCATCCACACTTGACGCTATGTTGGAGGCATTTAATAATAACTACGAATCATATGAAGGACCCTCTATGGACCTGCCGAGTGGAATTGTTTTTGACAAAGCCATACGCGAGTATGGTAGAACTTTAAGAAAGCAGCATTGTACTCACTCCTTTGTATGGGACTCTCAAGACGACTTATTGCGATTATTTTCAAAGGAACAAGACATTGGAGTAATGCAGCAGCGCCATCGAGCAGATCAATCCAAAAAGATACGACATTCCAAAATGGAAGACCGACATCGTTCTTGGATACGAAACTGTGCAATCAATTTACGAAGCAACTCGCAATGGAGCTGATATCAAGATCGCATCAATTGAAGGCGTGGAAGAAAAAGAGCTCATTGCATTCAACAAAATGATATTTGATTTCATGACTTCAATTTACAACTTCTATGAAGATAACGGATCCTGCTTTGAATTGGAGCGATCATTGTCAGAAAGAGATTACTTCAAACTATGAGGTGCTTTTTTCCGAGCCCTTATCAAGAACAGCGGATTATTCAAGATCAAGGAAGGTGAGGTCTCATCTCTTGCATCCGCCTGCAGAAAAAACGCTACACGCACTCTAAATGACCGACAATCGAGTGGCCACAAGGTTGATGCAATCTTTTATTGCAAAGAAGCCTCACTCCTCGAGATCGGAGCTGTTGAAGGAGGCAAAAAAGATGAAGGATCCTATGGAACGAAGGTCCTATCTGATGGATTGAAAACTGCCAAGTCACTGAAAGATATGCATGATTATGCATGTACTGAGACCTGTTTAAATGGTATTCAACAACAGACAGCTCGTGAAAAAGTTGAGGTGTTTGGGTTCCTTGTCTCTGGATTAAGAATTCAATTCATAACTTTGAAGCACTTTGGAGGGCGTTTCATGTATCTTCATCGAGAAACGCCACAATCGATGCCACGACAACTTGATGACAAATCTTTCAGAAAGGTAAAGAAGTTACTGATTACTTCCTTAGAGATACGAGAGTATATGAGGGATTTGGTTGAAGGCCTTGTAGAACTGATATATAACCTCAATGTAAGAAACACCGATCAATACAAGTATGCTCAAACTTTGACCACTCCACCCTCCTCCCCAAAACTCAAGAAAGTAAGAATTTAAGAAAATAAAAAAAGACGAGCCGGAGACCATGGCTTTATCACGACCTGCTCTTGCTTCGTTAGAAAACTTTAATGCTTTGCCTTGTAAGGACATGTGCGGCTCGGTTTTTGCGTTAGTATCACTTGCATCTTATTTATGAGTGCCGATCCTTGTGTTAGTATCACTTGCATATTTATTTATGAATGTCAACTCTTATCTTTGTTTATGAATGTCTAGTATCACTTCATCAAAAAAAAGGGCGCTCGGGACGAGGGTGAAATTGATATTAATATGCATTCATGGGTTCCATCCCTGCAATGCTCTCAGAGTGCCTGAGTACTCCATATACGCATATCCGCGTTCTTAGGAACCATAGAGACCAGATGGTCTGTACGACAGGCTTTGTGAAGAGGGATGGTGAGTTTGGATACTTTACAGCTGTGGAAGGGGAATTGTATAATAGTCGGTCGCCTTTTCCGTGACATGCATCCAAAGAATGGCAAAAAAAATCGGTATGTACTACTGAATATAGATCATCCATAACCCATCTTTTGGTCATCTTTATTTTATTGATGGAGGCGTACTCAAGGTGAGCTGTCGATCCAGAGTTCCGAAAAAGGTCCATAAGCTGATTGTATTGCTTGGCGGCTGCTGATGGATTTCTAGGCGCAAATTCAAATCGATACTTAAAGTAACCTTCTTTGTTTTTGACAAAGCCATACGTGAATATGAGCTTTTTCTTTTGACAGTAGATCTTGTTGAGGAATGCTTTAGGGCATTCCTGACATTTCAACGACGTAGGTCCCTCGGAATCCATTCTTGATAAACAGGTTAAATCATTAAACATGAAAGAGTAAAGTAAGTGAGGTATCATTTTGAGAAGAAGATAAATAGGATCAAGGGGAATGATTTCAAAGGAAGCGAAATTAAAGAGGAAGTGAGTGGGGGGAAACAAAATCAACAACAGGAGTGGGGGAACAAAACATGCTTACGATCTGCAGGGTATCACTGTCTTGTCGCAGGGACGTCATTTTCACCCATGCTCTTTCTGATATAGTGTTGAATACGCAGCTTATCGCTACTCTAAAAGTAGGAAACACATAGGAATAAAGAGTATTGTTATTTTGTGCACAAACCCTATGTATATCAAAACACTTTATTATCAAGGATATAATTGGGCTATACCAACATAACAAAAGTTGATAGGCAATGTATTATACATACCGAGCATCTTTTATCAACGTTGTATCCTTCTTCTTATCGCCTTGGCTTTGAAACTCTGAAAGTAGATTGACTGCATGATTACTGAAGAACGACTTCATTTCCTCAGATTCAATGCCTGCAACTTCGTTGTACCGCAATTCAGAAGGGAACCTCCTGATCCCTGACTTAACCTCATTCAGGCCTCCATCCTGAAGCATGAAAGAAATAGGAAAGTGGTTGAGGAGTTATGTGCTTAAAAAATAGAGAGTAGAATGCGATAAATGAGGAGGAAGCATGCGTTTATATAGATAAAAAAAAAAGCGGGTGTAGAAGTGAGGTAAGATAATAATGAGAGATTAATGCGGGTGATGAAACAAGGCAATGATCGAGAGCGGAAGAAGTGATGATGATCAAAAGAGGAAGAAACGAAGCGATAATGATCGAAGGAGAAAGAAGCGATAATGATCGAAGGAGAAAGAAGCGATAATGATCGAAGGAGAAAGAAGCGATGATGATCGAAAAGAATGATTAAGTGATTTGACTAAATTGCTATTTCTTGCTCGTCTCATGATTTTCGGTTACTGTCTTTCGATCCCACAGACCCGCGGTGACTGCAATGGAAGACATCATTTCGACTAACAAACCAAAAGAGTGGGAAAAGATCATCGGTAACACCGAATCAATGCTAACATCATGGAAGGATAAAGAACGTCGCGGCAATCTCTGCGGAGAATCGATCCGCGTTGTGTTTAAGGTCCCCAAACATACCGAGCAATCCAAATCATGTTCTTCAATTGGAAAACACTTGGGTTCTTCTTTTTCCGCTGGTATCTACTTGGTAAAACCGGGTGTATTCTTGAGGATGATCCACAGTTAGCTGAGGTAGCGCTTGACCGTATAAAGGTTCTGAGAAACAAGGCAAGAACCACTTGGAATAGCCCTTTGCTTTGCTCGCTGCTAAAAATTACTTCATGGAAAAAGGTTCTTTATTCATCAAGGCTGCAGAGCGAGCAATGCTGACATCAAACAGTCCATCAGTACACGGAAACATGTGGGTAGACCATGATGCCGCCAGTTTTCATCGAAACATTCAAAAATCGACCTCTGACTTCTTGGCCGTTGCTTACCGATAATAGTATTCCCGATCAACTCAATGGCAACTTTGTTATAATAGGATGCAATAAATTGAATCGGCTTGTAACCACATATAAGGATATCACAACTCATGGATTCATGAAGGCACATGTCAAAGGCAACTCAATGTAAGGAAATAAACTCATTCCTCCATTTTATTTCTCGTCGTCTCACGTCTCCGGTCCAGATATTATTTTTTCCATTCGCATCACTGGAGAGGACATGCCAACTCCTGTTTTCGTGCAAGTACATGACCTTAATTTATATACACGTACGTTTGATTCCACTCGCCTCAATATATCCCTCTGATGCATTTTCTTTTTCTTTTGTTGAAACTACGTCAAATACTTCCAAAAGGTGGTGCTGTCCAGGGAAAAATCAGCAAGGAACTCCATCAAGAACAGGATAAACAGCAAGTAGCAATTGCATCTGAGCCACCAAGTCTGAAGGATTTATATCCTTCTGGTGTATATATTAATATGGTAATAGTCTACCCAGCTGATGTAATCAGTTTCAAAGCCATGCGGCCTGATCCAGATCCAGAGGTCGGCAAGGATGGGCTAAAACGAGTAATCGGTAATGTGGACGACAACAACTCTGCAGACGTCTCTCCCAGTCGTCCTGTAAACTTCCTCGATAAACTAAAGAAATTCAAAAAAGGATCAGCGGATGACATTCAGCTGCGCCAAACAAAAAAAGTACATCTCAAAAAATCAAAAACAAACAACTTTTAAAATCCTCTAGGAAATACACCTAGAATGGCATATAGTAAATTTTGGCTGAGATTTAAAGAAAAACTATTAGAGGCTATAATAATTGGCTTGTGGCAGCCAAGCGTTCATAGCGACGTTGGTTTTTGATCCTTCGATGTCGGCTCTTCCTATCATACTGAAGCAGAATTCAGTAAGCGTTGGATTGTTCACCCATCAATAGGGAACGTGAGCCGGGTTTAATGATGAAATGTTGTTGCAATAGTAATTGAATATTGTACGAGAGGAACCGTTCATTCGGATAATTGGTATTCGGGCCTGCCTGAACAGGCAATGGCCCAAAGCTATCACTCGTTGGACTATGGCTGAACAGTGAGTGATATAAAGTGAGGGAAGTGTGGACAGCAAAGTCAAGTGCAGAAAAAAAAGTGGCATGGAGTGAAAAAAAAAAAATAAAAAATAACGAGCGGGGTGGATTAGGTTACACCTTGCTGCGGAGGGAACAAAAAAATAAGAGAGGGGGTTATACAGTGGCAAATAAGAACGATCAGAATGGCTACTCGATTCAGTCTTTTCCACGCTTTCCCTTCTTCATTTCGGTTTTGCAACATGGAAAGAACATACAAAGAAAGGAAGAAAGCGACCACAGGAAAAAAAAAAAAAAAAAAGTAGGGAGAAGCGAAAAACAGAGGGGACAAGGACAGAAAGAGTTCTCTGGTAGGAAAAAAGTAAACGAACAGTGGGAATTTTGTTCAAGCAAAAACATCGATGGCGCTTGTCTCCACCCTGACTACGGCAACGCACAATATCAACTCTGTTGTAATTTCAGGGCCCCAGTTGCAAAAAAAAAAAAAAAAAAAAAAAATGGGGGACTAAGTCATATAAAAATGAACAAGATAAAAAGTAAAAAAGTAAAAATTACAGTAAACGCGTATCTCTCCCTCTTTCATTCAAAAAAAAAAAAGGATGATTTGAGCTTCCAAGAAGGAAAATAAAAGAGAGTGCGTTTTGATTAGCACAGCCAACTGTGGCTGTGCTTAATTAAAGTTGCCTGTTTTCAATGGAGTATACATCATGTCAACCATTGCATCTCCATTGACTCTTACTAATTTCCTTTTTTTATAACATTTTGAGTGAATTCTTGGAATCGTTTCGCATGCCGATAACATTGCTACTCTTCTTCATGAAAAAAAGAGAGACGATTAATATTTGCTGCGAAGAGGCCATGATCAAACCTTCGTGCTGACATTTACGAGCCTTTTGCTAAGATGGATGAAGGAGGGTGTATCGTGTCTACCAAATATCTTTACACGGCCATTGGTTGGTGGGTGAGAATAGTTATTCAATCTTCAAGAGCAGAGGACCAGCCTGGGTCAATAAGCAGCTGGAGCGTGAGTTGCACCGGTAAAATGGTTTGACAGAGTGGAGACATCCATTTAAAAAAGACATCAGTGAATGAGGACCATGGCACAAGCGCACACATTCATGTCCACATACACATTTTTACCAACACTGAGCTCAGGCGCAATGAGTCAAGCTTGCTTTGCTGTCAACAACAAAAGCTAAATATTTCAGGTAAGTGATCACTGTGCGAACACTATTCAATCTTTCATAAACATTCTTGCACAGTCCAGACGCACAAGCATGATCTCGCGGTTCATCCTCATTCACTCCATTTACTTCATTCTTGTGCTAAAACAACAATTTTAAACACAATTTAAAAAATGATCACCCGAGCAAAAATGACAAAAACCAATTGACCTTGAGTCGACGCGCATTGTAAAAAAGAAAACGAGGGAAAATGTAGCAAATGTGCAACAATTAGTTGAATGAGTAAAACACCAAGGCAACAGTGCCGCAAAGGCAATGAGATGCATGCTTCAAATATTCCATCATCCTTCGTCCTTCCTCATCTTTTATCTTTTATCCTTCATCCTTCATCCTTCATCTTCCACACATCAGACAATCTCCCTTGCATTTCATTTTAGTAGTTCGGATCTCGAATCTCGAATCTTTTGCACGTAAGAGACAGGCAAACATGACTGGAGCACGCAAAAAAATATTTTTTCACACTCACCGCTGACAAACACTCTTTTAAATAACTTTTCTTCTCTCAGAGGCGTGAATAGGATCCAATATTCGAGTAAAAAGACAAGCAATAGACCATGTTTGGCAGCATCAATTCCCTTTCACGAAACACTCTCTCACCAGCACAGGCTCTGAGACTCTTTGACTTGTACATGCAAGGTACTCGCACCATAGATGACGATCGCATCCTACTGACGGAGCTATGCCTCGATGCTGACTCTGTACTGTCTCGTATTCAGAAGTCTTGGAAGAAGTCCTTTGCTTCGATGACCTCAGCCTCTTCGACCTCTTCAGCTTCCAATGAAGACATGGCATTGCACCAAAGTATTGGCTCAGCCTACTATGAACTTGCTCGCTTATTTGAGCAATTGGGTCACTCAACTGATGCACAGAAGCGAGACAAGAAAGCAGAGAAATGGGGATACATCCAAGGAAGTAACAACAACAACAGCAACAACGACAGCAATAGCAACAATGTCACTGCTAACCGACAAGTCAACGGATCCAGTAGTAGCAAATTGAGCAAGGTGATGGAAACAGTGCAATTCACACCAGTACAGACCATTGCAACTATATCAAAGGACATATTCAACCATGATGAACCTCCAACAGTCATCAGGTACACCTTACCAGATGTTGATGCAAGTGTGGATGATTGCTACCAGCTTGCATATTGTCTCAGTCTGTGTCCTACTGCTCCTATCCAAACAAATGACCTTAATAAGCACGAGAAAGAGTGGCGGCAGGCTATATCAAGCAATCAAGATGAGCATGATCGATTGCGTAAATTGACATCGGATGTGATTGAACTGTTCATCAGCGATGGAGTCAAGGCTGAAGCTGTAGCTGAGGTTGTAACTCTGGCTCCAGCCCTCGACCAAACACAGTTCAGAGTACTGCTTGCAGCTTTGATCAATGGAATCAGTCAAAACATCATGCTGGAGACTCATATGCTAGAAGGATTAGCTCAGTTGATGCATCATGCTCCTCTTGGATATCTCGATTCGGATGACCTTGTCTCAATCCTCACCACTCTCAACTCTCGCTTGCAAAACACACATGGTCAATCTACAGACCATCTCTATCACCTTTCAGCTACAGTCTCACATGTCCTTGATGCGATGGTCAACAACCAAGTCAAGGGTCTGAAGCGAGAACAGCTCCATGAGCCACTTACTACATATCTCAAAGGACTGAAAGAGAGTACAGATCCATATCTAGTCTATCAAGCAGCTTATGCTTTCCAAGCTCTATTGTACATTCCGGACGACGAAACAACAATACAAGCCATGCTTCGACGGACATCAACAGTACTCCGAGGAGTGTTTGGAGTAGTGAGTGCAGTCAAAGACATGAATATGAATGGCTTCATGGATGAGATAAGCAACATCCAGAAAGGACTTCCATCAGTGACAGATATTATGGATAAGAGTCTGGAGGTGTACAAAGGAACAGTATCACTCTATGAGAGCGGAGTGACATTCAGAGAGTGTATGGAAGAAGGACTGAGCTTCAGTCGCAAGTCAGGATGGTATCCAGCACTTCGAGTAGCTGATGGGCTACTTCAGATGGGCGAACTGACCAAGTTCAAGATTCTTGTGTGTGAAGTATCCTGTCGAAACGAGGTAGCATTCCAATGGGGACTATGTCAAAGACTGGGACAGATAGCAGCTGATGTAAAGTGGAGCATGGATATTCGACAAGATGCCATCATATTCCTAGGAGAGATATACAGGAATGATCGAGAATGGGGAAGCCATACACACATTAAGCAGTGGATCATAAATATTCTCAGACAACTATCCTCGCTATCACCAAATGGTTTTCAAGGTATGTACTTGATTCCTGTATGGATACGTTTGGTGGCGATGATGTTAATGATTATATATTAATTCATATGCTCTATAAATGATATTGTCCCTTTCTTCCTATTCTCGCCTATTCCAGCTGCAAACAGTCTTTTGAATGATCTCAAGGTGGATGGGGATGACAAAAAACAAGAACTATACACCAATTGTCTTCATGGGCCATTGATACAGTTCTCCTCTGTTGCTACACTCTTTCGAGCTGAATCTTCACAATTGCTTGATCGTGCACAGAAGAAGCCTGGTGTTGAGGATAGTCTACGGCAACTAAAGAGACGACGGATAGATGGGAATAACCAAAGCTTCTATGTTCAACAGTATGCCAAAGCAAGTCCTCAAGCAAGCGATAACGATCGGTTCTTGTTGATGGACAAGGTGAAAGAGTTCCTAAACGGCGACCAGAAAGTGATGCTTGTGCAAGGAGATTCAGGAGCAGGCAAATCCACATTCAACCGCACTCTGGAGTGCACACTCTGGGTAACATACCAAAAGAGACATGGCCGGATTCCACTGTTTATCAACATTCCAGCCATCGACAAAGCAGAGAAGGATCTGGTTGCAAAGCAACTGCGAGACTACGGCTTCACAGACTCTGAGATTAAGGAGATGAAGATGAATCGGTCATTTGTGTTGATCTGTGATGGATATGATGAGAGCATGCAGACCAACAATCTGTATGCATCCAACCAACTGAATAAACCTGGAGAGTGGAAGTGTCAGATGGTGATCAGTTGTCACAGTGAGTATCTTGGATCGGACTATCGAGATCGGTTCCATCCTATGGACCGCAATCATCGAGCAGATAGTGGAATGTTCCAAGAGGCAGTAATTGTACCATTCTCCGAGGCACAGATTGAAGACTATATCGAACAATATGTCAACTCTATGGATCTATTGTGGGGTGTGGAGGACTACAAGGGTGCACTCAAGATGGTCCCTAGCTTACAAGAGCTTGTGAAGAACCCATTCATACTATCGATGTCACTAGAGGTACTCCCACGGATGGTGGATCCAGGACAAGAGATCACCAACAGCAAGATCAAGCGAGTCACACTGTATGACCAGTTTGTTGAGCAATGGCTCGAACGAGGCAAGAAGCGATTAGGCGAGACATTAAGAGCAGAAGATAGAAAGGTGTTCAGAGTGCTGACAGATGAAGGGTTTGCACAGAATGGGATCAAGTATCTGGCGGAGCTGGCTATAGCGATCTATAAGCATCAAAATGGCAATCCAGTGGTGGAGTACTCACCATCCAAGGACAAGGGCACATGGAAAGAAGCGTACTTCAGCAAAGAGAATAGAAGGAACCTATTGCGTGAGGCATCACCACTCACACGTACAGGCAATCAACATCGGTTTCTGCATCGATCTATTCTAGAGTACAGTCTGGTACGAGCGATATTTGAGCCACAACCGATGATGAATACGTTTGCGAGCGATGAAGAAGCAAAGGCGACTACATCGCCTTCTCGTCGACAGAGTATTAATTCGGTATTTAGTTTTGAATGCATGGACACCAAAGAGAGCGAGCAGGAAATGGATATGGTCAAAGCCGATGAGGCATCACCTTTAGTATGGAGGAGCTTTGTAGATGAGACATCTATCCTTCAGTTCCTGGAGGACCGTGTCCGTCTTGAGCCGGTGTTCAGACAACAGTTGTTTGGATATGTAGAACTCTCGAAGAGCGATAGCAAGTGGCGGATAGCAGCAGCGAATGCGATGACGATCTTGGTCCGATCAGGCGAGTCATTCATCGGAGCAGACTTACGAGGCATTCAGATTGCAGGAGCCGATATCAGTCATGGTATTTTTGAGTATGCTCAACTGCAAGGAGCAGACTTGAGGAAGGTGAACTTACAGAGATGTTGGCTTCGAGAGGCAGACCTGAGTGGAGCAAAGATGGCAAGAATACAATTTGGAGAATGGCCACTTCTTGAAGCAAATGGTGAGGTATTGGGTGGGGCATATTCACCTGATGGCAAGACACTCGCTGCAGTTATTGGAGTTATCAGAGATGAATCATATATGTGTTCAATTACCGTGCATGACACATCAACATGGGAGAAACTCTTGGTTTTAGAAGACAATGTAACTCGCGACAGGCTTTTATACTCACCAGATAGCAGGCATATCGCCTCTTGGGGCAATGATCAAGCTGCAGTTTTAATTTGGGATGCAGCCTCAGGTGTATTGGTTCACCAATTAGTGGGTCATACAGGCTCTGTCAGCTGTGTAGCGTATTCACCAAGCGGGAACGATCTTGCTTCCGCTAGCGAGGATGGCTCAGTGCGAGTGTGGGATACCCAAACAGGCATGCTCAAATTTATATTAGAGGGCCATGCTGGATCCGTGAGAAGTGTGGCATATTCACCTGATGGAAAGCAGATTGCAACTGGCGGTAGCGACAAGATATTACGACTGTGGGATGCGACATCAGGGCAACAGTTGATGTTGCTGACGGACCATGAGGATGAGATTGTACATGCTGTGTATTCACCTAATGGACAAGAAATCATAGCTCTTTGTTTTTTGGATAGCTATCTGCATGTGTGGGATGTTGGATCTGGTCAAAAGAAGTTTAGTTTGGGTCATGATGATCCTCTTGCCAAAGGGATACAGTATTCACCTAATGGGAAGTTCGCTGCTTCGCTCGCTGGTTGTTTCAACTTTGATACGGTATATCAGTGGGATATGCAAACAGGAGAAGTCGTTCATACTCTTGTAAAAGAAGGTCCTCTTACCAGTGATTTAAAGTATTCACCAAACGGAGAAGCGATAGCCGCTTACGATGTGAACGATGCAATATGGCTATGGGATGCGAGATCAGGACAACTCATGAATACCTTCTACGGCCACTCAGGGGAAATAACATGTTTGGCACATTCACCTAACAACCACCAGATTGCGTCCTTCAGTAGAGACAAAACGATACGCCTTTGGGATACTCGACCGCAACAATCCAGTCATAACTTACATAGTCATTCAGCAAGAATCGTTGGCGTCAGGAGTTCGCCTGATGGACAGCAAATAGCTTCATGCAGTCGGGACAGAACAGTGCGTATGTGGGATGCAAGAACAGGACATCCCATTCACGTTTTACAATGCCTCAATGGATATATAAATGACATCAGGTATTCACCTGATGGCCAATTGCTTGCCTCTTGCCATTCTTCTCCCCGCGTGTATCTATGGGATCCTCGTACAGGACTAGTTGTTCACACTTTGGAGCTACAATTTGAAGGCGCCGATGACATCAAAGTCTTTGATTTCTTACCTAATGGCCACCAAATTGTCTGTGGTCATAGGTCTGGAAGAGTGATCATACGGAACACACAAACAGGAGTGCCCATCCGCATACTATATGGCCACAAAGCAGAAATTGAGAGTGTAACGTTCTCACCTAATGGCGACCAGATTGCTTCGCGTGATCATGGTAATATCAAAGTCTGGGATGCTCAAACAGGGGATCTTCAGCATGAAATGAGTGATGAAGTAACCTCTAACTCTTATGTCGTATACACGCCTGACAGTCGAAAGATAGTGTTGTATCACATCAGTGAGTGCAAGTGTTTGCATGTATGGAGTGCAGAAACGGGTGAGCTCTGTTACGAAGCGCAGTTTGACAATTATGTAGAATGCGTTGCATTTTCACCATGTAGTCAACAGATGGTTGTTGCAGGTAAGGAAGGGCTGGTCAGTGTGTTGGATACAGAAACAGG